CAATCCAGAAGACAAGGGAACTCCTGGATCAAGTACTGAGAGAAATTTGCCTTTTTGGAGGACTTTTTGATGGAACTAACCCGCATTTGCGTTACATGGAGAGGAAGACCACGAGAACCTCCCTCGGTTAGCCTAACGGCAAGGGGACTCTAACCCATGATCCGTCTACCACTGAGGATATTTCATGTCAGAACTGTGGTCGGTGCAAGCCAGATGCGGAATTCGTATCGACCAGCCATCGCCGGGACGAACCCCAGTTCACCTCACTGGAAGGTGAACGCTCTATCTCCTGAGCCATCGCGGCTCAACCCGAAAGGTATTGATTTGTTTTCGGAACTTGGAGGACTTTGTGCCCCGTCAGAATAAATGTGCATTAGTCACCATTTAATACACGGGGACATCCTACCGACCAAGCTATCCCGGACCCTGGTAATAGTGATACTAATTGGGCCATTTGCTATTTATTTGGCATTAAGCATCTCACTTTTTTTTCCTTTTCTGCACAAATCAAATTGACAACAACTCAAACTCAACATTTTTTATTATACACAAATTAACACAGTGAATTATAAAAATACATATATTGCAGAAACTTCTATATAAATCAAATAAATTTTTTTTTTTTTAGATAATTATGAGGTAACAGTTGCACTGATAGGAAAATAACAAAACTTCAAATTGTTCTAAAGCATTGCATTGACTTTTGCATTAAGAGGACGCCAAACAGCAGCAGAAACTTGCTGCTGTTTGGCAAAGGTGGTAAATATAGTTTTCAACGAATTTTTTTTTCCAGTTTGAATATTTTTAATGTGTTACAATCGGGAAATTTAGAATTAGTGGCCCTCGATTATTGACAATTCCATCTTTAAGTATTATTTTTTGCCAATAATTGTTCAATAGTAACTTATTACCATTTATTTTTTTGTTATCACGGTATGATTTTTCAAATTATTTTTGTTGAATTCTGATAATAGTGCAACACCCGATGTTCGAATTTAGTTATCACCTTATCCTCAATTTACTCCATTTTATAGCCCATTTTCTCCATAGTTATTTAGCTATTCTTAGTTTTTAATGCATTTTTAGCAGTTATTACAGTTATTTTCAGTACTCATTATAGTTTTACAGTAATACAGTTTTCAAGTATATTATTGATTTGCTTCTTGAAGTTACTATTAGCTTTGCAATTTTAAAATATATTTTATTACAAGTAAAGGAGATAAAAGTAGGTCCATAAGACAAAGTGAAAATATAGTAAAAAAAA